ATTTCTCATAGGTTATGGGAACCTTAGCTTGTGACCATACAATTCCATTTACACAGTCAATAATTGTGTTAAGTCTTCTGAGTATATCTATACCCAGAATCAGTCGGTCATAGGGGAGATCTACCACTATCACCGGGTGTCTAAAGGTTTTGTTACCTATTTTAAACTTTAACCAGGTATTGCCAATAACATGAAGGGCATTTCCTCCTACACTCAACAGAGCATTGGGGAAATCTCTTAGCTTCAGCTTATCCGTTGCTAAGTCCATTACCTGCTGGAAGTAGGTATTGGATAAGATAGTGGCTTGTGAACCAGTATCTATTAACCCTTTAAAAGGCTGGGGTAGCGAATCCTGTATTTCTACAGACATGTAGTACCTTCCTTCATGTTCTTCTAATTCACATAAGAATTTAGAATGTGTCAACATATTACTTGTTTTCCATACATTACCGGTCACAGCAGTAGTTTCTACCTGTACTGAGGAATGCTCAGTCTTACCCACAGGCCCATCCTTTTAGGAATATCTTGAACTGTCAAGCGGGAACTAGTGGTCGGCATCTCATCAGTTAACCCTTTCAGGTCTGGATCCTGGAAACTTGTGGCTGCTGGGGCTATTTTAGCCTTTGGCTGAAATGAAAAAACAGAGGAACACGTTGCGCCTCCTTCACCCGGAAGTGAAGTGACGGTATAGGCAATAGGTTTTCTAACACAACTATTGTTTGTTTGACTGTTAGTACTTGGAAAGGAAACAGGGTTAGGCATTACATCTACTGATAACCTAGCCTGTTTAGTCACAGTGGCTATTATTGCTGCGGCACCTGTTGTTGTTGCTGCGGTTGCACAGGTAGTTCTGTAATTGGAGCTATCCCTAAAAAAGGATTTAGAGCAAAGACTTGGTTGATCTTTGTCATTTCCTCCATTAATTTGCCCATCTGGTCTGTCAATTGACCAACCTGACGACGCAAATTATTTCCCCCATTGCCGTTTTGTCTTTGCCCATTAGAATTTGGCTGGGATGGCTGAGACTGTTGGGAGTTATTGGAAGCAGATTGGTTGTTTCTGTTTCCATATCTCCTATTTCCCTGAGGATTCCTTCTCCATTGGGAATTGCCTTGGTTCTTATTAACCCAGGGGCGTTTATTCCCATTGGCATTGGATTTTTCAGAGTTATTAGAGGAGTTTGCAGAATTGCTTCTGGTGTTTTCCTGTTTCTGAGGTTTTGGTGTTTTCAAAACCTCGGAATAGGTCCTCTTTTTCTGTTGGGTTTCTAAACCTAACTGAATTTTAGTCTCTGTCACCATTTTATCACCAGGTTTCTTAACCTTTGGCTGATTTTCGTCATGTGCATGGTGTATAGTGTACAACTTCATGCACTGACTGACTAGCCATTCTAATGGTAACTTACAATCATAATCTCTTGCGAGATTCATTTGTATGTTTACCGGCATGGCATGAAAATACAGATCTTTGAAGTCTGTGCTTTCATACCTGGGTTTTCTTTGGGCCACGGAGTATGCATTTTTAAGAATTATTAAAAATTCTCTGGGGCTTTGATCTGGACGGCACTTTAAGTTATAAAGCGCCTTCTTAGCAGAAGCAATGGTTTTATACTTACCATATTCCATGATTATTTCATATTTCATCTTGGACCAGGACATTAACTGTATAGCTTGAAGACTTTCTAGATAAACACGACACATTGAATCAAAGGTCCATGTAATGAACCATTTCTTATGAATGTCATCATACATGCCCAATGAATTCATTGCTCTATCATAATTTTCCAGATGTTCAGATATGTTTCCTGAACCTCTAGAAAATTGTGGGACAGTCTCTCTAAGGAATTTGATGACCTTTGGTGTTTCATAAACAGGCGTCGTTGATTTACGACCTCTGTTTCTGTGTTTGGGTAAACGTCTATGCGATCTGTCTGCTGAAGAGGAATTAGACCCGTACAACAGTGCAGATGGTATATCAGTTACATGGCCTTCAGAGTGGATAGTGCAATCACTTTCACTCCCATCACTCTGAGCTTCTTGTTCACTGTCACAATTCTGATCTGCATCAGAATTCTGCCAGTGTACAGAACCATGTCTGTTTTCATTCCTATCACCTTGAATCTGATTCCTTCTGTCAAGCTTGGCCAGGACAGTCTTTTCAAACTGTTCTGCCCAAGATTGCCAAGAATCTACAGGTGTTTTCTCAGAATTACTCACATCTTTTCTTAGAGACTGTTTTATGAAAACCTGGTCTGGTGTGTGAATATCAGGAAATTGAAAAGAATCACTTGGGTCTTTTCCCAGTAATCCTTCACTTCCCTTTTGATATTCATCTAGCTGCATCTGTATCTGTTTTATCTGTTGATCATAATCATCCACCATTTTGTTCATTCTTTCCAGTTTATTCAAAAGGTCAGAGTTTAGAACCTGAAGGAGATTATTTTCATCAGACAAAGTTTTGAACCTTCCTTGTTCGAGCACCAGGTCTTTCTGACACTCGTCCAATTTACGTTCTATCTCATTATGCTTTAACATAATAGAATAACCCAATATGAAAAACGGGCATGAGTTGGTAACAGATCGCATTGTAGACTCTTCATCTATATGGCTAAGATATTTAACCATAGGTGAATCAGCCGATCTATCATGAATCGAATCATCAACCTGTTTTTTTATTTGGAGTATCCACTCTGGATAATCAACTTTAATATTTAGATACTGATATATGATGCTTAAGGGAAAACCTTGCATTTCCGCTAACTTCTTCCCATTCTCTGATTGAGATGAAGCGCTAGATTCAGCCATATTTCTATACAGTGATTTAATCTCAATACAAAACTCTTTTCTATATCAAGATTAAATTGCATGAATTACACCAATATTATTATATATATGAAATACAATTTCAACTTAAACGATCTCAGCAGCGTGCCTCCAATATGTGGGGATATTTATGGGATAATAATAGTAAACAGTGAGAATTGCCCACTAATTCAATTCTCAGATCCCAAAGAACGTTTATCGTGTTAAGTGGAAAGTATTTCATATAAATAATCACAATGTATAAAAATAGATTTTTATTTATGTGACAAATTAATAATAATAATATTATATGTAACATGCATAACAATAATCAATGAATATTCAGTATAAAACGATATGCAATCCAAAGAAATGGGTATTACGTTTCAATGGCTAAATAGCATTTCCTGTCAAGAATTCTGACGATTTATGATTAGCTTTCACAGGCTGAAAGTGAAACTTTTCACACAGAGAACAGAATTCCTCAGAGTACAGCGTAAGGTCGTAAAGTTTAGCAGACAGTTAGAATAACCCTTTCAATGCTGGCTAGATCTCCTAGGTAGTTAAGATCTATTCTGATGTCATTTTAAATAAAATAACATTTAATCCAGTTTAAATTCATTTTCTTAAACTCATCCAATAAGAGAATTTACTATATTATATAAGCAGGTTTTTAATTTGTCTAAAAGATATCTATCTTAATTTAGAGCAAATCAATACACCTGGATAAAAACAGCGGTATGCTAACACGTGATAATATCACATCAATATATAATTATTCTTAATTCCACCTGCAGAATGGAATGTTTATAACTATATATTCTTAGTTAACTAAGATTTCTTAATATGGAAATCTGACCGTGCTTTATCCAGTCATATATAATGCTATTAAATACATTTTAATTAATTTAATTTAATTAAATGAAACCAGTATAATTACCAGTTGAGTAGATATTTCATCCGATTGGTAGTCTCTCTGCATGGAGGTGTTGGTTAGAAAGTCAGTAAATTCTAAGTGTTAGAGTTTTAGGAGTAGAGTGTTAGTCTCAGATGTTGTCCGAGTTGGAATCCCCAAACTTCCAATTCCTCTCTCCTCTCCTTTGCATACCTTGCATCTGCCTCCTCTCGTCTCCCTCTATCTTCCCTTTGTCTTAACTTTTAAAGGGCCAGACTCTCTGTACGTCATCAGTTGATAACCCAATAGAAGCACTAGAGGTGTGGTTATCTTCCAGATCGCAAATTAGTTATTTGGTCTGTAGAGGGCAGTCTTGTCCCACTAAACATACCTATCCAGGAAAGAGTTAACTTTTCCTGGTGGCTATTTTGACGTCATTTTGCTTATCTCAGATGACCACTATAACTTACGTATCCTTCAAAGATCAAAGGGTTTCTTAAATTTTGTCCAGACTATGTGTCTGGTAAATCTGCTATAATTTCTGATATGGCAGATCATGAACTAAGTTTACCCTTTTCCATACAATGGTACCTTATATATATAGACAGTTAAATATTAAATTATTTAATCTTCTCTGTCACAATCGTCTGGGTTTAGATTTGATTATATTCTTCTTATCACTTGTTTATACTATGCTATACATTCCTTAGCTCTGGCAAAGAGGCCAGTCTTACAGAAAGAAATCTAGTGTCTCTTTGTTTTTGGAATAACAAAATGGAGTCTGGTCTGTTCAGAGTGACTCAGAATATACACTTTTAGTTTCTATCATAGCACAAAATGTCTGCCGATATAAATACCCTGACAATACTCAGTATTATTATACAGAGCGACATGTTTATTATCAGCGTATAGATACTCAGATTATTATACAGAGGGACATGTTTATTATCAGCGTATAGATGCTCAGTATTATTATACAGAGCGACATGTTTATTATCAGCGTATAGATACTCCGTATTATTATACAGAGCGACATGATTATTATCAGCGTATACTCGGTATTATTATACAGAGTGACATGTTTATTATCAGCGTATAGATACTCAGTATTATTATACAGAGCGACATGTTTATTATCAGCGTATAGCTACTCAGTATTATTATACAGACTTGTGACTACATTATTATGTGGATACTGTGGTGAATACCAGCAGTGCTCTTTAGGGAAGCTTTGCACAATGAACAGTTTTTCCCTAACCAGCTCCTGTAGTAAGTGTGCAAGGCATGCTGGGATGGATACACCCCCTAGATTTGCTCTCTTCCCAGTGTGTGTATGGAGTTCGGCCATGTTGGGTGTATGTTACAGCAGGAATGTGTATATCAACAAAGGGATCGAACATAATATGTGACTTGTGATCAATAAATCCTGGCTGATTAATAGACGGTATGTTATTGTAAGTCAGCTATCATCAAACATAACAGGTACTCGATATTATTATACAGAGTGACATGTTTATTATCAGCGTATAGATACTCAGTATTATTATACAGAGCGACATGTTTATTATCAGTGTATAGATACTCAGTATTATTATACAGAGCGACATGATCAGCGTATAGATACTCAGTATTATTATCAGAGCGACATGTTTATCATCAGCGTATAGATACTCAGTATTATTATACAGAGCGACATGTTTATTATCAGTGTATAGATACTCAGCATTATTATACAGAGCGACATGTTTATTATCAGTGTATAGATACTCAGTATTTTATACAGAGCGACATGTTTATTATCAGTGTATAGATACTCAGTATTATTATACAGAGCGACATGTTTATTATCAGCGTATAGATACTCAGTATTATTATACAGAGGCGACATGTTTATTATCAGCGTATAGATACTCAGTATTATTATACAGAGCGACATGTTTATTATCAGCGTATAGATACTCAGTATTATTATACAGAGCGACATGTTTATTATCAGCGTATAGATACTCAGTATTATTATACAGAGCGACATGTTTATTATCAGTGTATAGATACTCAGTATTATTATACAGAGCGACATGTTTATTATCAGTGTATAGATACTCAGTATTATTATACAGAGCGACATGTTTATTATCAGCGTATAGATACTCAGTATTATTATACAGAGCGACATGTTTATTATCAGTGTATAGATACTCCGTATTATTATACAGAGCGACATGTTTATTATCAGCGTATAGATACTCAGTATTATTATACAGAGCGACATGTTTATTATCAGTGTATAGATACTCAGTATTATTATACAGAGCGACATGTTTATTATCAGCGTATAGATACTCAGTATTATTATACAGAGCGACATGTTTATTATCAGTGTATAGATACTCAGTATTATTATACAGAGCGACATGTTTATTATCAGCGTATACTCCGTATTATTATACAGAGCGACATGTTTATTATCAGCGTATAGATACTCCGTATTATTATACAGAGCGACATGTTTATTATCAGCGTATAGATACTCAGAAGTATTATACAGAGCGACATGTTTATTATCAGTGTATAGATACTCAGTATTATACAGAGCGACATGTTTAATATCAGCGTATAGATACTCAGATTATTATACAGAGGGACATGTTTATTATCAGCGTATAGATACTCGGTATTATTATAATCTATAATGAATACGGCGTGAGTCTCATTTTCCTGTCCGTCTGCACTTCTTAAACTTTCCTCCTCTGTCAGTCCTTATATTGGCTTCCAGTAAGAAAATGAGGTGATAGCGCACAAAGTACTAGGTGTACTTCACTTCGCCATCAGTAGATAAAAACCTATTAACATAAAACCACCATAGCGTAGACTGTATAAAAGATAATATCCGTAGAATTAAATATGGAGAACACTCATATTTTTAAGCCTTTAAAGTTGGCTCTGAACTCAGTAGGTGTTATATAACCACTCGACGTGTTGTTTAGTCAATGGGTCCCATAGGTGTGATGGAAATCAGGAATATAATATTTTATTACAAAAATCAAAATAAAACAAACACACGATAAGTGGTAAAATAGATAAGCACAAGGCGTTTCGACCGTAACTGGTCTTCCTCAGGTGCATAACCTACTGAGTTAAGATGGCGGAACTAAATGGAAATACCTTACATGGACTTTGATCATCATGTGTTTTGAATTGTCTATTTGTATGTATATATTAGCATGATGTGAACTCGGTAGGTTATGCACCTGAGGAAGACCAGTTACGGTCGAAAATGCATTGTGCTTATGTATTTTACCACTTATTATTGTGTGTTTGTTTTTTGATTTTTGTAATAAAATATTATATTTTATCACGGTTCCTGATTTCCATCACACTTACATGACCCATCGAATAAACAACACGTGGAGTGGTTATATAACACCTACTGAGTTCAGAGCCAATTTTAAGGGATCAAAAATATGTGAGTGTTCTCCATATTTAATTCTACAGATATTATCTTTTATACAGTGTACGCTATGGTGGTTTTATGTTTATGTTAATAGGGTTTTTATCTACTGATGCCTAAGTGAAGTACACCTAGTACTTTGTGCGCTATCACCTCATTTTCTTCCAAGATACAAATAGTCTGCTCTATCAATCAGATGATGTCAGTACTACACTTCGCCCCATTCCATACGTCATTAAATGACAATAGGGAGACCTCACATCTGATTGGCCACAATACATTTAAAAGTCCCAGATTTTTAAAAGGCAAGTTTATCCCCTGACGAAGGTGTTTTAACACACTGAAACGTGCATCGGGTTTTTGCTTTATTTATATAATTTTTCACTTTATTTTTCACTTGGGACACTTTAAAGCACAAGATGGGTATTTAGACCCGTTTTTTTTTTTTCTTTCTCTACACTTTGAGTTGTTTGTTATTAGTTGGTAATGATGATGGGGATCAAGATAGACTGCTATGCCTCTTAGATTGAGTTCTAGTTTAGAACACCCATGAAGGTGTTACAGGAGACTTAGGGACCAGCTTTTAGGATCGTAGACTGGATTCTGAATAATGCTTATATGGTTCACTATAGAGTCTACACCTCTGGGTTGTTCTAACTAGGGGACCAGAAGGGTTACCATACTATGGACAATTCTTTGTATTGCACAGAAATTTAAGGCTACTTCACAGTTTATTAACTTTGGTAGGATTAGAATTTACACCAGTACTACTTCAGCACAGCCAATCCTTATATCAACTTTTGGTTCCCTTCCTCTATAAATCCCCATAGGTTTGAGGGAAATTGTTACTTTAACCCTTGCAATAGCTATCCGCTCTGAGGAGTCTACTACTTTGTTGCATCTGGTTCTTAAAGCGACAGCTAAATCTATAACCTAATAGAACATTTCGTTATAATTAGACCTATGCAATATTATTTAAGGCAGACATTACACTGCCAATTTATTATAAGCTATCCTGGGGGGGGTTCTTTCTGTGTTCCTTTAATTTTTTTTACTTTTCATAGAGGATCAATAAAGTTATATATGTAAATATTTTTTGTTAAAGGGTACATGCAAACATAATTAGAACAATTGGTACCATTTTCCCCTTGTTCAAATACCTACCATAACCAATTTAGAGATATTTGTTTATTATTCCAATTATGTTGTTCATTCATTAAACTACTGGCACCTTAGATTACCCTAGTTGGAGATTCATCTTCTCTTTCTCAGTTTACTTACAATTTGGGTCCAAGCCCTATTGATGGAGCTTGCACCACCATCTGACCACACTGCCTTGTACCTATCGCCTTTTCTTTCTTAGAGGGGGGGTGTTAGTGACAGGTCACTAATTTTTGTTTGAATTTTTATTATGGCCTGCTTATATACGCCCCTCCCCCCCCAGCAAGGGGTCTATGTTATTCATCCCCCCTCACCCTCCTTACATGATTCTCCACCAAAAACTCCTCCCTCATGGTTCCTGGATCTGGGAAATAATTGAGTCTAAAGGACACTAAATCAAGTATCTCTCAGATACAAACAGGCATGCCCAAACACCCCTGATCCGAGTTTCCAAGTTCACCAAATATCACTCAAATGCGTTTGGTAAAATGTGAATGCCATCATGTTAAAGATCTGACCGGCTGGCCACAAGGCATAAGCCCAAATCAATTCCATGAAAATAGCTTCAACAGCCTGCCATCTTTCAGTAGTTCCTGTTCGCAACTACCGAACGCACCCCCTGTCTCATAGGCTATAAATGCTCTCCTCATTCGAACGTTTAGACCAAAGGTGTGTTTTGTTTTTTTGTTTTTTTAAGGGAACAAGCCAGGAGTGTTCTCTGTTTGGTAGTTTGTAAAGTACAGAATTGGGGAAAGTTTAAAAGTTCTGTGAATAGAGGGAATAAAATATAAAGTTTCTTTACAGTTGCTGAACTGGCCCATAGTTGATGGGTAGGAGGCCAGCTTCCACACTCCTCCAGGAACTCGTGGCAAACACAGCTACTAAAAAACCTGGGCATTTCCCATATGTAATACCTTAGGTTGTCTGCTTTTGCAAATAGTATGCCATCATGGGGGTAATTCTCATTCCTTGGCTACCATACGGTCTATAAGGCAACATAAACAATCTTAAAAATGTCAATGTGAACAAACTCAAATGCAAGCCTTATATTTGACTCTATAACTTTCTAAAACACCATAAAACCTGGAGACTGTACTGAACACTAATCTTAGTATTATACACCTAAGTACCTTGATGTACATAGTTAGTTTTCTAATTTTTGTTCGGTATCCTTTTTTATGTTGTTGATGCACGCTACTTTTGAGGATGTTGGCCTGTGTGGATGCAGGATGGTAATTTAGTCTCCCGACTTGACCTAAAAAGATGAGGTCCTGTTTTAAGATTGTTAATGGGCTTAACCCCTCCCTCGCATGACCTTTCTCTAGGAATACTCCTTCTTGTTTTTGCTTTGCTGAGGGTCGGCAATGCCAATCCCATGCGCCCTGTAGAAAAAATGCAAACTAGCAATATTAATGTGGTAAATCTTGCTATTGGAGACGCATACGGGAGAGAAGTTGTGCCCTTTGCTGATCAGTCAGTCTACATTGCACCTAGACCTGTTACTGAGTTATATTCCGGATGTCATACTGGCGACCCAATTACTGTACAACCATGGCTATTACAGTTTGTTTCCCTTAACGTCAAATGTTTAAATACCCTGCACAAACGAAGGCTAGCCCTGGCTGAAGCTAAGAAAATGAAAACCACAATTGCTTTCTATCAGCAAACCCATTTCCAGAGAGCTCATCAACCCAAATTTTCCTCTTGTATAGTGGCAGTACTTACAAGTGGAATGTTCCTTCTAGTTTGGACAAGAAGCTCCCCCTTCTTTAATGATGATTGTTGTGCTCCGCCTGCTGTCTCTATATAATCTGCAACTCAGGAGAACTCGAGTTCTTCTTGTCCCAGCAATGGGATGGAGAAGTTCCCCTTTGGTCTAGGAGGAGAATGGTGTGGTCAGCACAGGCTGCTGACCGGGCAGGTGAGTGCCCAATAGCTCCCCGGGCGGGAGCTGAAGGGCAATAGTACTTCCGGGTTTCGTGTTCCAGAACGCGACTGGATATCATGCTACTTGTGGCATGTGATGATAATATTCCATATTAACTAAGAATGATTGATCACTATTGAGCAAATCAAACATTTATAAATGTTCACTTGGAGAACTACCCACCTGTAAAGCGGACGCGTGTTACTGGTTTCTGTTGTTCCCAGAAGAGAGGGTCTCTCTGAGCCTGACTGCTTGAGTTCCCCCAGTCGTGTGCACTGAGGAGACAACCAAGCCCCTTGTGACGAAGTGCCCTTCGCCACTCGTGCCTGGAGAGGACTGCTTGCCCGCCTCTTGCCCTGTGACTATGGCCCCTGGGATGTATTGCCCTTTAAAGACATGATTTGGGCATAATGGATTTGTGTTGTGCTGCTGCTGGCCCTTTAAGAACCATCTGGGGACATACTGTGGAGTTACTGGGTGGCCACCATTTCCTGTATCAGAAGCACATGGTGAGAACAATGGATGGCGGCCATTTTAACTCACAGACACTGTTTGGACTTTTCAACACGGTGCCATCTCGCCAGTATTTGGTGCACAGAGACATCGTGCAGTGGTTTTGGACTATACAGCAGGGGACACATTATACAGTGATTGTTTTTCATTTAGCCTGTATATGTTCTGCAGAATCTGCATTAAACTGTATTTTCCAAAGTACTGAACGGATCTGGGTGAATTTTGGATATGTGGTTCACCCAGATCCCCCGGTTCCAAGGATATTTTTATGGGGTTATTGCATGTTTTGGGGTCCCTGTGTGTTTTATGAAACTGTATTATTTCTGGCCAGCAGATAATTGAGCTTTGTGTATTGTAGAAACTCAATTATCTAGCCTGGCCCAGAGGAGGAGTTTTGTGTTGCATAAATTGTGAGTTCTGTGTGCCAGTAAATCAGTCTTGTTCCAGCATTAAGCCTTGGCTCATGTTTGGGGGAAGGGATACCTACACTCTGGGGATTGCTATAATCACTTACTCCCCAGAGGAAGCTCTTGCAATAGCTTGATTTGTTCCTGTTCCTGCTCTCTGGGGAAAGAGAGGTTCACCCACTGGAAGCTGGATCCTGGCCTTGGGTCCAGGGTGGGTGGAAACAGCAGAGACCCCGGCGCAGTTGCATCGCTGGAAGTGGGGTCTGCAGTGCTGATGGTGTCGGTTGGAGTGCTTGGAGTCCTCAGCGAGCACTAGGAGCATCGATTGGCGGAGGTACTCAGTCGGATTGCCAGCGTTCCGTCACACCCCTCTAATGGTTATGTATACTTAAGCTGATATATCTAGATACTAAGCTGTTTGAAGTAAATGCATGCAACTACTTAAATGAGAGTAAAACTTATTTTGCTAAGATCCCTTTTTGGATAATAAAGTCTAGTGTGAATTCTTATATTCAACTTGGTCTCTGTGTGATTTCTTTCCTATAACTCAATGTACTCTATCCGAACTGGGTTGTGTGCCCGCCAATATCGCTATAAACCTTAGGTATTGATTATTACTTTTTGGATATTGGTGCTTCATGAATTTAATAATTAGGCACAACATGGCATCTCTGGGAGTTCCCGGGCGGACCTCCTATCAAGGAACTATGCGCACAGCGGTGGAGCACACACCTGGGAGGTTTTGCGTTTCACCAAACACTGAATCGTGCTACTGCGCATGCGCAAAACTGTGTTCGCTATTTTGGCACCAAATTCAATTTTTTTTCATAAAAGCTGTGCAGATCCTGTCTGACCCCAAGGGTGGGTGTACAGTCCTGGTTCTCCGTGTCACCAGCACTCCTACACAGTTGTGAGGTGGTTAGAGGTGAGGTTTAACTCGTTAAACTCTCCTTTTGTCACCTATCACTATCGCATGCTCCTATATCAATGACTGTTGTTTTTTCCTTCTTCCCAGATATGTCCAATCCTATTTCTCCGGATAAGGCAGATAAAGACAAGATGTCAGCGTATGTTCCTAAAAAAAAAAAAAAACCACAACCAAATCTAAGCACTTATGTTGTCTGGAATGTGCTGTTCCTCCACCTGACGGATGTCGCAAAAAGACATGCAATCAGTGTGTGACAGATTCATCTGCATTGTTGGTTCGTCTGTTTCTCTTTTGTTCGCGGAATTGCCTGTTCCTATACCCCCGTTCGTGTAAGTTGCAAAATACCGATTGAAACTACCGAACGAACGACCACCCAGGAGAGGAGTGTGCTGCTGGTTAACCTATTGGCCCCAATTAGAACGTTGTGGTTAACCGCAGACACCTCTCCATTCCATTCGTACGGGTGGTCGTCGTTCGCATGTCGACCACGAGGCAGCGGCCATTTTGGGACATACGAACACAGAGCGGTGTTCGGTACAAACTGTATGGAACTAAAAACGGACACTTAAACTACCGAACACCGCTGAAAAGCTGCTGCCTACCTTCCTTTTCGACAAGGCATGCGAACGTCGGTCGTTCGGGAGTTTTATTCATTCGTATGGACTTTCACCCCGACAGCCATCCCATGGAGTCATTCGTATACCGAAGGACTGGTGAAGGACTTTGACTCCATGGCGATTCGACTAGATACATCAGATCTGAGCGCTATTCGGTGAAAACATGCACTCAGATCCAGGCTGTCTGGGGATACGTTACACGAACTATATGCATTCGGTATTTCTTCAGTTATGTATTTTAATGTATTTTTATTACTGTAAGTTAAAATGGCGATTGTCTCTACCTTGGGAGATAATTAGGTTTCTTCCTAATTATCTCCGGGGTAGAGAAGACGGATTTATGGGTAAGATGGGAAGGGCTATTATTGAAGCCACTGCGATTGGCTACTGTCCAATATGTTTTACAGTCTTCCACAAGGTGCCCTTGGGGAGTGTCCACCTTGTGGAGACCTGCATAAATACCGGACAGGTAGCCCCCATTAAACAGATCTTCATTTGACCCTCAACACGGAGCTTGGTCTCGTTTGTGGGGGAATTATTACTGGGACAGCGCTTTCGTTATTTCTAGCTGTGGAAGGCGTTCGACTGTTTAGCTGATCGGGAGTTGCCGCGTTCGTGGACTTCGTTCAGGAGTTTGGCGATCGGCTGGATTTAAACTGCATTTCTGGAAAAAGGGATTATTGCCTAAACGGCGGCTTCATCTACCCGACGGTACGTGTCGTAACACAGTGCTCCACGGAATTGGTAGAAAAAGCCAAGCAGACTGATATGTCATCCTTCCTGTGCTGGTTCCAGGAAAATTTGTCCCAGACATTTAAATCTTTTAAAGATGCTGTAAAGAAAGAACCGGCTATTCAGGAGCAGACTAAGAAACGTAGGAGAGAAAGATCTCCCTCTCTGTCTGATATCTCATCAGGAGAATGCTCTTCCTCCTCGCCTTCTGATATTTCCAGCCTAGCTTCAAGTGTGGAAGAGGGTTTTCCACCAGAGGAGCTTAAAAAATGTATAAAAGAAATGGCGACAGCTGTACGGGAGCCAGATCCTACCAAGGGTAAGGTTAAAGGTTTACCTATGCTTCCTAAACTAATGAATCTCCTTCAAAGAGAATGGAAGATTCCTGAAAGACGGGCGTTTATTTCAAAGCTTTTTAAACTTATTTTCAAACTACAGTCTGAAGAGAAATTGGAGGATCTTCCCAAGGTGGACATTCAGATAGCCCAGCTGTCAAAGAAGACCACTATACCCATTGGCAAAGTCTCGGGACTGAAAGACCCAATGGACAAGCGAGCTGAAACTTTGTAGAAGAATCTTCCAGGCCGCAAGCTACCAATGCAGAGCCGAAATAGCAGGTTCAGCAGTTCTCAGGGCACAGAGCTTCTGGCTCCAAGCCCTTGAAGAGTCTCTTATGGAAAAGTCTGATAACGACCCTGCCCAGCTTATGTTCCTCCTGAAATTATCTAACTAATTTCTCTCGGATGCCTCTGATGAGATTCTTCGTTTATCCGCCAGAATCATGGGTTTGCCATCAGTGGCCAGAAGAGCACTGTGGCTACGAACAATGGACAGCTGATTGAGCTTCTAAGGCAGCCTTGTGTGAACTACCCTTTGAGAGGAACAAGCTTTTTGGCACTCCTTTGGAAGACATTATTAGACAAATGTCGAAAACAAAGAAGGCTCTACCTCTGGAATCAAGACCCCAAAATATAAAATATATCAGTTCAAGGGTTCCTTTCGTAGATTTCGAAAACAGGGTGAAACCAGCAGTCAGTGGTCTAGACAGGATCTCAACAGGCAAGACAAGAGAAAATGTTGACCCCAAGAGAGTAGGACGCCTTTGGTTCTTCGCCCACGAATGGGAAAAGATAACATCAAATGGGTGGATTCTAAGAACAATTTCAGAAGGTTACAGAATCAAGTTTTCTGCAATACCACAACCATCCTTCCTACAGTCAAGCTATCCATCAAGAAAGAAATCGGAGGCACTCCTAGCAGAAGCTCTTATCCTTTTAAGAAAAAATGTAGTAGAAAAGGTACCCAAACAATGGGAATTTCAGGGAGTGTACTCTCGCCTGTTCTTGGTACAAAAACCAGACGGATCCTTTCGGCCTATTCTAGACCTAAAAAAGTTCAACAGCTGCATACCGTATCAAAGGTTTCATATGGAGAATATTCTGTCTGTCACACACAGCTTGCAAAAGGGGTAATGCATAGCAAAGCTAGACCTAAAAGATGCCTACCTCCATGTTCCGGTATCAGTCTTCCCGAAAATTCCTCAGATTTGCAGTCTTAACGGGATGGTGAAGAATTCTCCATTTTCAGTTCAAGGCTCTACCCTTTGGCCTGTCATCGGCTCCTCATATATTTACGAAAATCCTTGCACCCATAGCAGCAGCTTTGCGTCTAAAAGGTATCTCTATACAGGGGGTGCAGAATTATTAGGCAAGTTGTATTTTTGAGGATTAATTTTATTATTGAACAACAACCATGTTCTCAATGAACCCAAAAAACTCATTAATATCAAAGCTGAATATTTTTGGAAGTAGTTTTTAGTTTGTTTTTAGTTATAGCTATGTTAGGGGGATATCTGTGTGTGCAGGTGACTATTACTGTGCATAATTATTAGGCAACTTAACAAAAAACAAATATATACCCATTTCAATTATTTATTATTACCAGTGAAACCAATATAACATCTCAACATTCACAAATATACATTTCTGACATTCAAAAACAAAACAAAAACAAATCAGTGACCAATATAGCCACCTTTCTTTGCAAGGACACTCAAAAGCCTGCCATCCATGGATTCTGTCAGTGTTTTGATCTGTTCACCATCAACATTGCGTGCAGCAGCAACCACAGCCTCCCAGACACTGTTCAGAGAGGTGTACTGTTTTCCCTCCTTGTAAATCTCACATTTGATGATGGACCACAGGTTCTCAATGGGGTTCAGATCAGGTGAACAAGGAGGCCATGTCATTAGATTTCCTTCTTTTATACCCTTTCTTGCCAGCCATGCTGTGGAGTACTTGGACGCGTGTGATGGAGCATTGTCCTGCATGAAAATCATGTTTTTCTTGAAGGATGCAGACTTCTTCCTGTACCACTGCTTGAAGAAGGTGTCTTCCAGGAACTGGCAGTAGGACTGGGAGTTGAGCTTGACTCCATCCTCAACCCGAAAAGGCCCCACAAGCTCATCTTTGATGATACCAGCCCAAACCAGTACTCCACCTCCACCTTGCTGGCGTCTGAGTCGGACTGGAGCTCTCTGCCCTTTACCAATCCAGCCACGGGCCCATCCATCTGACCCATCAAGACTCACGCTCATTTCATCAGTCCATAAAACGTTAGAAAAATCAGTCTTGAGATATTTCTTGGCCCAGTCTTGACGTTTCAGCTTGTGTGTCTTGTTCAGTGGTGGTCGTCTTTCAGCCTTTCTTACCTTGGCCATGTCTCTGAGTATTGCACACCTTGTGCTTTTGGGCACTCCAGTGATGTTGCAGCTCTGAAATATGGCCAAACTGGTGGCAAGTGGCATCGTGGCAGCTGCACGCTTGACTTTTCTCAGTTCATGGGCAGTTATTTTGCGCCTTGGTTTTTCCACACGCTTCTTGCGACCCTGTTGACTATTTTGAATGAAACGCTTGATTGTTCGATGATCACGCTTCAGAAGCTTTGCAATTTTAAGAGTGCTGCATCCCTCTGCAAGATATCTCACTATTTTTGACTTTTCTGAGCCTGTCAAGTCCTTCTTTTGACCCATTTTGCCAAAGGAAAGGAAGTTGCCTAATAATTATGCACACCTGATATAGGGTGTTGATGTCATTAGACCACACCCCTTCTCATTACAGAGATGCACATCACCTAATATGCTTAATTGGTAGTAGGCTTTCGAGCCTATACAGCTTGGAGTAAGACAACATGCATAAAGAGGATGATGTGGTCAAAATACTCATTTGCCTAATAATTCTGCACTCCCTGTAGTTCCGAACCTGGACGATTGGTTCTTGAAAGCCCAATCAGAACAACTTCTAAGATCTCATCTTGAGATCGCTATAAAGGTTTTGAAAGAACATGGTTGGCTCCTAAACCTGAAAAAAGTTGATTCCTTCATTGAGTCTGGAATTCCTGGGTCTTCGGGTGGAATCAAAGTCCCTGTCTCTTTTCCTTCCAATAGAGAAACAAAGAAGGATTTTCAAAACCGTACCAAGACTGCAGAAAAACTCAAGCTCTATCCGGGATGCAATGAGTTTACTGGGCGTCTTCACTTCTGCAATCCCAGCAGTGGCTTGGGCAAAGGCGGAATTAAAACCATTGCAATGGGACATTCTTTCTCAATGGTCCAGATGACAGGAGGATCTAGACTCTGTCTTTCACCTATCTGAAGTGGTGAAGAAACAACTGAACTGGTGGAAAGAAAGAAACATTTCAAAAGGCCTCTCGTTTGCACAAAAAAGTGGATTACGATAACCACAGATGCTTCCCAGACTAGGTTCTCAGTTCTATCAAGGTATTTAGAACAGGGAAGAGGCAAACGCTTCCTCAAACTTCAGAGAGTTGAAAACTGTATGGAAGGCACTAAAGTCTTTCAGTTCAGTGATCACCAATCAGGCAGTAAGGATTCAGTCGGACAACGCCACTACAGTGGCTTATTTAAATCGCCAAGGAGGCACAAGGGTGAAAGCTCTACAAGACCTCTGCTACCGCATCATGTCTTGGGCCCAATCAAGACTTCTCGTGATCTCGGCTACCCATATCAGAGGGTCTCTAAACATAATCGCAGACAACCTAAGCAGCAGTCATTGGTCTCAGGCAGACTGGTCGCTATCACACCAGGCTTTCTTGGAGTTGGTTACCCGCTTGGGCCTGCAGGATATAGACCTGATGGCCACGAGGAGAAACAGAAAAGTTCAGACTTTTGCTTCTCTCCAAGCACGAGATTGCCCAGACATATTAAACAGTCTATCAATCACTTGGAACTTCAACATGGCTTATGTTTTCCCTTCAATAGCTCTTATTCTAAGAATTGGTCAGAAGATAAGATGGAGGAAGGAGAATTCTAGCCATCCTGCCCTTCTGGCCAAACAGGAGTTGGTTTTCAGAAGTGGGAAAACTTGACCATTTCACGTTGGTCTCTCCCAATCTCTACAAACGTAATAGAATGTGTGACTCTTCCCATAGAAACTCTGGAAATGTTTCACCTCATGGCATGGCTGCTGCAGGGTTGATCCTCCAAGGACATGGTATTTCAGACCGTTTGTGTGACTTTCTTCTGTCTTCAGTCCGCTTGTCCACGGCAAGAATTTATTTCAGGGTTTGGATGAAGTTCAGGTCCTGGTGTTCCATTCGGGGTTCGAATCCTGCCAGAGCATCAGTCCTGGATATTCTTTCCTTTTTGCAGGATGGGTTTGAAGCCGGCCTAGGGGTCTCTACGCTCAAGGGCAAGATTTCAGCTCTAAGTCACTTCCTGGTTCGTGACATTGCCTCAGACTTGCTTAACCGCAGGTTTTTTAAATCCATAAGGCTGAAGCGGACTCCCAAGATATTCCCTTTCCCTACCTGGGATTTGTCCTTGGTTCTTCAAGCCCTTTGTGAACCACCGTTTGAACCATTAGTTCCTAGTGGCTATCACCTCAGGTAGGAGGATAGGTGAAATTCAGGCTCTATCTTCTTCACCTGAGTTCACCGTTTTTCATCAAGATAAAGTTATCCTGCACCCCAGGCCTTCATTTTTGGCCAAGGTTATTTCGAGTACTTCTATGAACCAACCTATTATTCTACCTACATTCTGCCAGTCTCCTTCATCGGATCTTGAAAGAAAGTGGCACCTCCTTGATGTTAGAAGAGCACTAAAGATCTACCTTCAGAGAACTCAGGGTTTTAGGACCTCGGATCATCTCTGTGTCTCCTTTCCTGGCACTAACAGGGGTTGTGCTGCCTCCAGACCCTCTTTATCCAGATGGCTGACCAATACCATTAAGTTGGCTTATCAATCCAAAGGGACTCTGCTTGGATTTTCATTGAAGGCCCATTCCACTAGGGCTATGGCAACCTCCTGGGCAGAAAGAGCTGCTGCCTCACCTGAAGACATCTAGTCATCAAAACATGATTTTCTAGATGTGTGGCCAGTGTTACACCCGACTGAGCTCTATTATACCTTTCACTCTCATATACTCAACTCTTACACTAGAACTGATAGGTGTCTTACTCAATCATCACTTATTCCTAAACTTGAGTCTGCCAATATCCTCATGTCATGGTCAGATCATGTACCTATCACTATCACCAGTTGAAGAACAATGCTCTGGTAGGGGTACTGGGTCATGGAGACTGAACAATACCATTCTCTGTGATCTACACATAACTTCCCAAATCGAAGATGACTTAGTGTCCTATTTTCACACCAATAACATACCAGATTTGACCATATGACTCCAATCTTATCTCGATGTTTTGCTTGCCCACAAAGCAGTTCTTTGAGGATTATTTATAAAACATTAGTTATGCCAAGAAAAAAGAGATGCTCAATACACCCAATTTGGGATTAAGAACAATATTGTGAATATGATATAGACATAAAAATTGTGTAATACATTCACAAAATTGTACACTATTTATGTCTATATCATATTTACAATATTGTTCTTAATCCCACTAACAGGTTTTTTTAACATAATTTTAATTAATATTAAGTATAATATACAATTACATACTCATGTAACACCGCTGTTTGTGAGATTTTATATTACACATTTAATTATACTTTCGTTTTGTTTGATTGGTAATGTCCTATATTTTTAATAAAGTTAGAATTTTAGCATTCGCGTTCCATGCTGGAAAGCACATGCATGCGCGGAGGGTTGCTAGGTGGCACTTGGTGGAGTGACCTCTCCCACTTTGCGCATGCAACAAGAAGCGCCTGCATGTGCTGCGGGTTGTGAGGTGACATTGCTTTGCGTGACGTCTTCACATAGTGTCTCTCCCTCACTTTGCGCATGTGCGCTCACCAGAAAGCAGCACAAATTAATGTATTTAAGACACCGAGATACAGGAAGATATACAAGCTCTTGAAAAAGTTGCAAGACTAAACACGTTGAGCAGTTTTTGAGCATCCCAAAGAAATAGTGTCTACAGCCTACAACTGATACCTGCAAGTCAGAGAAAAGTATTAAGCTTCTAGTTCTTTTGGTATTTTAGGACTGGTGAAAAAAAACAGACCGAAATCCTGAGGTACCACTGGCGGAAAACTACCCTATGGGGACTTATCCCTGTTTTGTGGCTGAAATCTCATATGCACAGACAGATGTATTTCTCTATGTGCCACTTGATTTGTGAGTGTATCTCTGCTAGTTTTTTTTATCCTTTTTGTTATAACATTAAATACTTCACTATGTATGTTCTCTTATGTTTTTATTCCTTGCCTTATTCTGCCGTCTGAATGGTAAATATGTAAACACACTTGATATTGTGGCGCCCTCACGTGTATATGTTTAAAACTAAACTTTTTCTGTTGGTTATATTGATCCCTTTTTCTGAGTGGCAAGCCTGCACCTCCTTATTGCACTTTTTTCCCTAAGTACTGTTTTAATAAGTGAGAGGGGTAGACTGGGTTTATATAGGGGAGAGGTATCCGCCTCTCACATACTATTGGTTGGAAAGTGATTAGTCCCTTTAACCCCTTAAGGACGGTGGGCGTTCTTGCCGCCCACATGGCCAGGTGCCATTAGCCCGCTGCAGATCGTGGTCGGGGGTCATGCCTGGCCACCCAGGCAGCTCCCCTGTGCCCAGTGACCGTGGTCTGCAGTCTCTGATTGCAGTGACAGGCTGTCACTGTGATCAGTATTTACTATGTGTCAACTGATTTAAAATCGGCTGACACACGTTGCTGCAGCATTCTCCTGCTGCAGTTCGCAGTCGGTGGACATGCCTGGTCAGTGACCGCGATCTGCACATTCTATTGGCTGACACATGTAACTGCAGCCATGATCCGCTGACACTGACTCTGCCCCTCCCCTGCTCTCTTAACCCCTTAAGGTTAATTACAGTTAAAAATTTTATATATATATATATATATATATATATATATATATATATGTAACGGACCGTTTTGCACACAAGGGGTAAAAACCGTTTAGGCCATCGGCCCCCTTTCCAGAGATGCAGGCACAGCTACTGCAGAACACCAAAACCGCCAAACAGGAAACCATATGAATGCTGTAAACAGCCGAATAGGAAAAAACCATACGAATAGGTTTACATTCCTAGCAGTCAAACTGGAACAGCATACAATAAATCCCCCCAATAACGAGACGACACTTCGTTTTGAGGGTTAAGCAGAATCTGAGGTGCTGGCACACCAGCCTGGTTTTTATTACAGTGTTTTCAAATACAGGACCGCCCACAGGGAGGTATAAAACAACCAATAACATCACAGTTACATCCCACATATTCCCTCCCCTTATCCTGAGAGGAAACTCAATTATACATACAGTTAAAACATACTTTCTACCCAACTTTCATAACTCCAAAACCATACATCACATTCACATAAAATTGCATATTCACAATCAATCCATTCAGGGGAACAACATATTCAAAAATGGCACAAATCAGACAAGGGGTTCAAAAGTTAGTAAAAGTCCTTTGTGACTAAATGAAGCATGGCTTTCTGGCCCAAACCAGTTTCAGAGTCTTCTATCCTGGAGATAAGTAATTCAATTATCTCCCAGGACAGACACAAGACTCCATTAAGCACATGGTTTCAAAGAGACACAAAACACTTTAAAATACATAAAGTCACATTTATTACATAAAACACAGACATGTAACATATCCCCAGATAGCTCAGGTCCGAGCGCACATTATTAAGCGAATGGCTCTCAGACCACACGAATACAGTTCAATCGCCATGGAGCCAAAGTCTTTACAGTCAGTTTCATACGAATGGGCTCCATGGGATTCCTATCTGGGGTGTAACACATTCAAACAAATCTACCGAACCCCAGGCAGAAAAGCACAAATGAAGCTATTCTGCAGGTAAAAAAAGATGTCTTTTAACAGGGGGCCATAGTCCAAAGGCAGCAGGCGAGCAACCAGGCTTCTCCAATGCAATGTGGCGAGATTGGTCTCGTCACAAAATATATATATATATATATATATATATATATATATATATATATATATATATATATATATATATATATATATATATATATATATATAATATGTATATATTTATATAATATGTATATATTTATGTAATCATTTTACATAATTAGGTCATTTTATTAATTACAATTAGCGGGACCTGCCTGACAACCCATGCCAAAAGTAAAGGGAATTTAATTTGCTAGCACTATATTTAACCCTATAACTTTCCAAAACACCATAAAACCTGTACATGGGGTTACTGTTTTACTCAGGAGACACTGCTGAACACAAATATTTGTGTTTCAAAACTGTAAAATGTATTACAACGATGATGTCAGTGAAAGTAACTTTTTTTTTTTTGCATTTTTAAACAAACGGCACGTACACTGACTATTATTGCTGTAATACTTTTTACTGTTTTGAAACACAAATATTTGTGTTCAGCAAAGTCTCTCGAGTATAACAGTACACCTCATGTACAGGTTTTAAGGTGTTTTCAAAAGTTAGAGTCAAATATAAGGCTTGCGTTTCCGTTTTTTCACATTGAAATTCGCCAGATTGGTTACGTTGCCTTTGAGACCGTATGGTAGCCCAGGAATGAAAATTACCCTCATGATGGCATACCATTTGCAATAGTAGACAACCCAAGGTATTGCAAATGTGGTATGTCCAGTCTTTTTTAGTAACCACTTAGTCAAAAAACAGTGGCCAAAATTGGCTTTCAAATTAGCTTTTTTGCATTTTTCACACACAAACAAATTTTAACGCTAACTTTGGCAAGTGTTTGTGACCAAGTGGCTACTAAAAAAGCTTTCCTATGGGGAAAAAATCTGACACTGGAGGTCCTCATGCAGAAAGTGAGGACATCCAGCGTCGGATACCAGACAAAAAGAAGAGAACCCAAGGTATTGCGTATGGGGTATGGGGTATGAGTGTAGCAGGAACAGATCTTATAAGAAATAGTGATTATACTCTGGGGAGTGTTATGATATCGCAATCCCCAGAGTGTATGTAGTTCTCAAATCCCCCAAACATGAGCCAAGACTTCATGAAGGGGTAAAGAATTCTGTTTTAATGGTAGCCACACTGGCCTTTTATGCAAGTCCCCATGCAAGGGTGACACCCACATACACCTTGCTTGGGGACTTGTATAAAAGGCCAGCTGTGGCTTCCATTAAACAGAAGGCTTTAACCCTTCATAAAGTCTTGGTTCATGTTTGGGGGATTGGAGAACTACATACACTCTGGGGATTGCTATATCACAATACTCCCCTGAGTATAATCACTAAATCTTCTAAGAGCTGTTCCTGCTATGCTCTCTGGACTAGGGGAGGCCTACCCACTGGAAGTTGGATCCTGGTCTTGGGTCCAGGGTGGGGTGGAGGATGGCGAGACCCCAACCAAGCTGCGGCGGTTCGTGGGGTTTACAGTGGTTATGGTGCTCGGAAGCAGAGATTGATGGAGGTACCCGGTAGGTGTGCTAGGCAGTGCGTCATAGCAACAATGGGCGAAAAGCTTTAGTGGCTTTGATGGCCATATATCATACATAAGAGTTTAATGAGATATAAGATAAACGGTTACTTACATATTTATGCAGCTCTTAGGATGATGATAAATACTTATAATTAGCCTGGAAGAACAAGATTGAAGGCAACGGCACATGCTAGAATAATTGTAGAATAACAATAATATTAGCATAAGCTATAACTTTTTATTGCTTAATGAACATGACTGCATGAGATAAACTGAACGCATGTGGATCGTATGAATATGACAGTAAAAGTAATTACAATACCTGGTCGAGTTGCAATGCGGTCGAACACGATTGAAACAAGTTAGTGTAACAGAGAAAACATGCTGACTGCAGATGGCAGAGATGTGAACCGTTTCTAAACTGCTGATGAGGAACCTGAGTGTTAGAACGTGAAGCAAACTTCTGCAGGTTTGATGTGCATCAGCAGCTGAATGTGGCCAGCAAACAAAGAAAACATTTAGTTTTCAAATACCTGCACCATGTGTTAGAGGCATTATAGGGCTACAGAATTTTGCTGGCGCTATATCATTAAAATAATATTAAACAAACTGCAAATTAGCGAATGACCAGTAGAACAAGTGTACGTGCATACAGTAGTTAACAGACCTAATTACGCCTGGCAATTTTAAAGTACAAGTCACTAGGCCTGTGCGGCATTTTCCCAGAAATGGCTAAAACAATGTAAGTGGTGACGGACAGTGAAATAAGACAGATTATCATCAAGGCAGTACTATAAAGGCTAACCACATGTATAGGGCCAAATTTGGACTTGTCATCAATTTATCATGTATAGGCATAAGTTTGGGCCTGACGTCATTATGACCGACATAATATTAAAGTATGTTTGACTAGGCTTGTGTGGAGCACAGAAAGGCTAAACCAACGTAAGTAGTGAAATAAACAGTAAAATACCCTTCCCACAATTCCAGGCTTCACCCACAAGTTCAACCTGCTATATATCTCATCTCTTGCTTATTCATCATGATGTTTCATAGACCTATTTCTTATCTTTGATGAAAATAGTGTCAGTTTTTCTATGGTAAAGTGGTAAGTATGGTAAATAATAAATTTATTATTTACAGATTTTATTTAACTCAGAGTATGTTTCCACATTTCAGGTCAAACCAGTTATTTACTACAATTTCAATATCACAACCTTCTAGTATAAGTGGTAAAGGCAGAGCGATATACAAAGAGTAGTAGATACATGGAGCATGCCTCAAGTGAAAGTGGTTAAAAACTAATAGATGTATAGAAGAGGTAGTAGATACATGACACAGCCTTCCAGGGTTAGAGGTAGGGGGATAACAGTGAAATTATGTACCGCACGTGCTATACACAGTGTGTAACTTGTTCCTCTAGTACAGGGGTTCTCAACCCAGTCCTCGGGACCCCCTACCAGTCCAGGATTTGGGGATTACCTGGGTGTGTCTAAGGTGTTTAGAAAAAAAAAAACACCTTAGAGTCTAAGGCTTAGACTCTAAGACGTTTTTTGTTTTTTTTTCTAAGCACCTTAGACACACCCAGGTAATCCCTAAACCCTGGACTGGTAGGGGGTCCTGAGGACTAATGTTGAGAACCCCTGCTCTAGCATAAATGCAGATATATGAGGCTTTATGGACTAACTCATATTTTGCAAAGCAAATTAAAGGAAAAGGGGGTATACTCCATTTCACTAGTGAAGGGGTTAAAGAACACAAAATACTTTCTTGTCAATCACCATGACACCTGATGGTCATATTTCTAATCTATTACGGTAATATTGTAAGTTTTTATAAGTATGGCAATAATATATAGTGACCGATTTCCTTTAACTCTCTGTGTAATTCTTTCAGGTTTATGTGTCAGGAGTGGTTTTACTGAAAGAGGTGACAGGAATACATGAAGAATGGCTATGAAGAAATCTTTTAATAACAGAACCAAGGAGTCTAACTCTGAAAAATCAAGCATTTTCTCAGATTCCTATATGTTCTCAAAGGAAACAGTAAACATAAACCCCACCCCTTTCTCATGTTCTGAATGTGGAAAATGTTTTGGCAGTAAAGAAGCTTTTGTTATACATCAGAGAACTCACACAGGAGAAAAACTGTTGTCATGTTCTGAATGTGGAAAATGTTTTAACAATAAAACAAAGCTTGTTAGTCATCAGATAACTCACACAGAAGAGAAACCGTTCTCATGTGCGGAATGTGGGAAAGGTTTTAGCCGTAAAAGAACTCTTGTTCTTCATCAGAGAACTCACACAGGAGAGAAGCCGTTCTCATGTTCTGAATGTGGAAAATGTTGTAGGGATTACTCTGCTTTTGTTAGACATCAGAGAACTCACACAGGAGAGAAACCGTTTGGATGTTCTGAATGTGAAAAATGCTTTAGCCGTTACTCAATTCTTGTAATACACCAGAGAACTCACACAGGAGAGAAACCTTTCTCATGTTCTGAATGTGGAAAATGTTTTGGCAATAAAACAAAGCTTGTCATTCATCAGAGAACTCACACAGGAGAGAAACCGTTTGCATGTTCTGAATGTGGAAAAAGTTTTAGGGATCACTCAATTCTTGTTATTCATCAGAGAACTCACACAGGAGAGAAACCTTTCTCATGTTCTGAATGTGGAAAATGTTTTGTCAGTAAAACAAATCTTGTCATTCATCAGAGAACTCACACGGGAGAGAAACCGTTTGCATGTTCTGAATGTGGAAAAAGTATGAGGGATCACTCAAATCTTATTAAACATCAGAGAACTCACACAGGAGAGAAACCATTCTCATGTTCTGAGTGTGAAAAATGCTTTAGCCGTCACGCAAGTCTTGTAATACACCAGAGAATTCACACAGGAGAGAAACCTTTCTCATGTTCTGAATGTGGAAAATGTTTTAGGGATCTCTCAAATCTTATTAAACATCAGAGAAATCACACAGGAGAGAAACCATTCTCATGTTCTGAATTTTAAAGAGATTTTTCTGTTAAACCTAATCTTGATAGACAGGTGAAGTCTCTTAAAATGTTATAATGTACATAGGTTTACATAGGAATAAAATGTCTTGTATTGTGAATTTTTCTCATACTGACACAATAAACAGTAACAGTGATAGTAGCAGTCAATGTACATATGATGCATTGGTATTGTGGCGCCCCCATGTTATCATCTGGGGGTGCCTAACCTGAAACGCTAACTCTCCTCTACTTGGTAGCTAACTTACAGGCAACAAGGATACAACTCAACATACATTGTGGTTGTATGTTCTGGCTGTTACAGAATATACTAACTAGCCTGTTCCACTGGTAATACACTTCAATGAATATGGTTCCTTAACCTAACTTAAAATTGCATGGTTTCCAACCAAGAACTCCACAAAGAGACAAGACACGCTTCTTGCTGGCAACTTGTAGGATCATTCTTTCTGAGCTTCAGCTTTTATTAAAAACCACAGCACACAAATGAAATGTATTTACAAATTAAATATGAATTGGGATAGGAGACCAGAGCTCTGACTTAGGGATATTAATTAGGTTGAGTTAAGTATCCCCCATGGTCCTCTATTCTTATCCCAGGACACAGTAACTTTGGACATTCCAAGAGAAATCGATGTTAATACAGACTTCATGCACATTTTAGGTTTACTTCTAATTCTCAAGGTTTTTTTTATTCTTAGGGCATACAATGCAGCTGAAACTATAACTTCATACATAGGAACTGATAGGCCCTACGTAGACATCTAGTATTAATTATAGGGTGTATGTCTTATGGACATAGTCTAAATTAGAGGGGCAAAGGTTTAAAAATAATATCAGGAAGTATTACTTTACTGAGAGGGTAGTGGATGCATGGAATAGCTTTCCAGCTGAAGTGGTAGAGGTTAACACAGTGAAGGAGTTTAAGCATGCGTGGGATAGGCATAAGGCTATCCTAACTATAAGATAAGACCAGGGACCTAATGAGAGTATTTAGAAAATTGGACAGACTAGGTGGTTCGAGTGGTTCTGTGTATGTCCATTGTAAATCAATGGTCAGCACATAAGGTTCTTGTTCAGATAGATTGATGAAGGCCCTCTGTTATTATACTGGAAAAAAACAGACTGTGCCAAATTAGAAACACTAGGTAATCATATACAGATATTATAATATATTAGATATATACTAGATATACTATACTATACATATACTAGATATTATAATCAAGTATTTCTTATTTGGTGCAGTTTTTTTTTTTTCTGTATTTCTTCCTTGTTCCTCTTGGGTTATTAGTGTATCAAATCAACAAACCTTTGGAGTTAGTGCTGTATCCTCCCATTCTTTTTCCCCGCTGTTATTATAACCTTTGACCCGTCATTGCAGGCACATTCCAGGCAGACTCCCATGTGTATTAAGAAGAGCCTCTTTCTGAATGTTTAATTTAACCCCTTAAGGACCAAGCTTCTGGAATAAAAGGGAATTATGACATGTCACACGTCATGTGTCCTTAAAGGACCACTATAGTGCCAGGAAAACATACATGTTTTCCTGGCACTATAGTGCCCTGAGGGTGCCCCCACCCTCAGGGACCCCCTCCTGCCGGGCTCTGGGGAGAGGAAGGGGTTAAAATCTTACCTTTCTCCAGCGCCGGACGGGGAGCTCTCCGCCTCTTCTCCTCCTCTTTGGCTGAATGTGCATGCGCGGCAGGAGCATAATGCTTTCCTATGGACGCTTGTGTCTTCTCACTGTGAGAAGCACGCAAACGCCTCTAGAGGCTTTAGAGGCTGGATTAACCTATTTATAAACATAGCAGTTTCTCTGAACTATGTTTATAAAAAAATTGGTTAACCCTAGCTGGACCAGGCACCCAGACCACTTCATTGAGCTGAAGTGGTCTGGGTGCCTAGAGTGGTCCTTTAAGGGGTTAAACATATATAGTAAAATCCTTTGTGCAAATTATATTTTACTCCCTATGAAAATAATGTTCCATATTAATTAAGAATGATTGATCACTATTGAGCAAATTAAACTCTTATAAATAGTTAAGGTGGAGCCGGTAAGCACATAAGCACACACAGGCAGTATCACTAGATGCAGGCCTGGATGCCACAGCTACTAATACACAGCACTGAAAATGTTAATAAAACCACAAAACACAGCATCAGAATGACTCATGCATACCATCACAAGATAATTATTAGTACATAGCTAGCTTTTTGCTAAGAGATAATTAACCGCACAGACCTGGCATGGCATTGTTGGTGGGCCTGGACAGCCAGGCCGGCTGCTGGTCCCATCCATCGCTTTTCCAAGGTCTTTGCTGGGCTGCACTAATAAGGAGACTTGGTGGAAAAGTACAGACTATACATCCAATTGGTAACTCTGTGCTAAAAAACAGCATAATAGATGAGAAAACTTGGCACTCGCTTGGAGTACTACCCACCTGTAATACGGACGCGTATTGCTGGTTCTGCTGATTCTCAGAAAGAGAGGGTCCCCTTCAGGCCTGACTGCCAGAAGTTCTCTCAGTCGAGTGCAGCAACTTTCACTAATGGTGATGCATAATTTAAACTGAATATCTAGATAATTAAGCTTCCTTTAAGCTGAATGTGCACTATAGATTAAATGTTATTACTTATTAATTAAGTCTCTCTTAGTCAATAAAATCTGTATTGATTATTTACAAGTACTTGGTGTCAGTGTCTTTCCCTTTCTCAAATACTCAATTCACTCATCCTGAATAGGGTTTTGGTGCCCACCAATACCTTTAAAAACCTTAGGGTAATTGATTATTGCTTTTTGATATTGGCACTTCATGAATTTAATGATTAGGCACAACACCACCCAAGTATAACCATTTTTACAACATATGGCTTTTATCATAGATTGGACGGAATGGTGATTAAGCAACAACCGTTTTTACATGTATTTGAAAGAATCAAATAACCTTATCCTTATGTGTGTGCCTCCTAATTAACTGAATTCTTAGACACTTTTTGCTGATAGATATTCACCAAGACAATCTGATTTGATTATTGTAACTCTGATGTGACAAACAAACATCTCAGGATCAGCTAATTTCTTACATTTAATGGCGAAGAAAGCACAGGCGTGATTTAAGTCTGAATTATTACTAACGGAATAGAAATGAGTCTTCTGAAAAGATTCAGAAGATTACGAGAAAATAACTGTAGAAAATGTCAAACTGTTCTCTGCAACGAGTGTTAGTACCCCGCTTGATATAGGAGGCACATATATTCACTGAAGCTGCATGACATTCCAAGGATCCTTTGTTTAAACACCCCAGAGTTACTATGCGAAGACAGAGGTGAGCAGGAGGAAAATCAGTTGAACGTGGTTGCTTTATCCAGTACTGGAAGATTTTGTAGATTATAATTTGAGATTTGCATCTGAAGTCCTTATTGTCCTTGTCTATTTTGAATAAATAGCATAACGGCCCTCAAATAAGAAGATTTGTTTGTTGGACGACCCTCAAGAATAACGACATACTCCACAAAGTATTCTTCCATCAAAAATCGTTGAATCTGTGGAAACCAAAATTCTTCAAAGGGTATATATCTTTGGTAACACATCTGTAGAAAGTTGCTTGTGTGTATTTTGATCCTTGTCTGGAGGTAGCACGGTCCTCTAGGGTAAACAACAGGCACAGTCCTTTGGTTTGTATACAATCCAGGCGGTTTTATTGTTAAACTCCACCACAGCTACAGCAGCAAATGAAAACAAAAATGTAACAAAACCCTATAAACAAAAACCTAGCTCGGTCTGAGCACTAACTAACCTCAAGTTCCCTCTCTCTCAAGGGTTTAATCTATAACAAAACAAGAAGTGGTTTCACCAACCTAGTGTCTTTTCAGCTCTCAGCATTCCAGTGTTTTTGACAGCCTGCTGCTTCCCTTTCTATACTCCCAGTGCTCCAAGCCAGCCTTGACTGCTTTCCTTTTGCACTCCCAGTGCTCCAAGCCAGCCTTGACTGCTTCCCTTTTGCCCTCCCAGTGCTCAGTCTCCTTGACTCTCTTACTGGAGAGAACAGCCTCACTCCTACCTGCTTCCAGGGAGGAAGCCAGCAATCCCCCTTCACCTGCCTAGCAGGGAGGGGTTTATTCCCACTGTTACAGCTGATTATCTGCAGCTGAGCAGTGGGTTGGAGGCAGCTCCAAAAAACTCTGGCCTGGACATTATTTCCCCCAGTTGTGTATAAACTGAGGAGTGGAGCATTGGCCCACCCTGCTCTCCAAATGCTCCACCCCAGGGGCCCATAACTAAACGGTGGATTGTGTTGCCTACAACACATACTACACATACTCCCCCTGGGGTTAAATGTTATAGGCCTATCTGCTTTCACTTTATCACAGTATGTATATATATATATATATTTTTATTTTTTTTGTTAAACACAACTTTTTAACTGTGTAGTTAATCATGGAGTGGCTGCAAAAGACTGCTGCCAAATTTGACTATCTTTAGATCTGTCTGTGAAATGGTTTAATCCTGAAAATATTTGGGATGATTGTTCATTGAAATTGTTAGACAGATTAAGTGATATTGAGCAAAGCAATGTGTTTAAAAAGAAAAGTCAAAAAGGTGCATGTGACATGCGTTACCTTCAAAGGAAGTTTGCCACAAATTCCTGGAGGAGTGTGGAAGCTGGCCTCCTGCCCACCAACTATGGGCCAGGTCAGAGATTGTGAATAACCGTTACATTTTATTTCCCAATACTGAACTCCCTAACTTCTCCCCAATACGGTATAGTCCAAACTACCAAACACAGACTACCCCTGGCTTGTTCCCTTCAAAAGAGCCATTTATGTAAATGCACCCTTTGGGTAGCTGCCGTTCATTTATGCAAACGCATGTGTACAAACAAATGGTGGTTATGTTGTCCATGCGAATGCAGGCATAAGTATGAAGGCATCGATGTCTGGAACTATTTTCGGCTACACTATCTCATGAATCTCGGTCAAGTAAGTATGCTTCTTTTCCCAAATGCATAGACAAACACTGTTCGGTAGATTCTTTCTACCAAATGAGTGGAGCATTCTTATCCTGAGAGCCAGGCAGTGCATACGGTAGATTGCTAACAGGAACTCCTAAAATATGACCGACCATTGCAGCTATTTTCTTATAAAGTTACAGGATCCCACTCACAGTTCACCATTATAAAAATTAGCCCATGTCCGCTCACTTCTGTTCAGTAGCACAGCCAAGAAGGAACAGGAAGGGTTGGGGATCGGGAGAAGTGGTTATCTCTTACCTGACTTGTAAAGGTATTGAATTACCCAATTACCATATGAAAGAGTAAAGCTTATCCCCCTGTAAGAAAGATCTACATGAGCTTGGTCATGTGACCCCTGGTCACCATATTAGTTTGATGACAAAATGTCTCCACAGCTGGTACTCCAACAGCTACTCGGGAATAAGCAGGATTCTTCAGAAATACAGGAATAGATTTAGATTATTACACAATTCTCCCATCACCCTTCCCAATAACTGGATGACACTCAGTATTAGGAGCAGAACTGGTGTTTAGTGGGCCTTTTATGCAGGTTTTTCCCACATGGTTACCACCCAGGTGGACCTTGTTGGGCACAGGTAAAAACAGTACACAACCAATAAACACAGAGTCAGGTAATGAGTCACTCCCATACATTCCACACAATCCCTCCCCTCTGCTTAGGAGATAATTGAGTTAATTACTGTATCAAATCAATTATCTCCTACCGAAAAAATTAAAATGTTTATACATTTCCAGAAGTACACCAAAAACCTATCCCACAATTCAGACATACCCTGATAGCCCTGATCTAGGGGAGCAACATACTGAAAGATCAGCCAGATCGGATCAGGGGTTCAACAATTCCATGGAGGTCTTAGTTTTACTGACCACACACGAGGTGTAAGCCGAAAATAGTTCCATGCATTTGGACTGTGTGGTCGGTATACGTTCGAGTCTGAAATACACGAAATTGCATATAAAACGGGTTTGTGCCTTAGTTCATTAAAATCATCTTGTTCGTGTCGTTCTTTTCATTGAATGCTGCTCTGTTCCCCTGAGTATATACAAACTTACACAAAGATAGTGTTCGTGCCATTGAGTGTCCGATTTGTATTTCAGACACTCAATGACCAAACCCCGCTGGTACAGTATGTATTCCAAGATGGTCACCACCACGTGTTCGCATATACGAACGGCAGCCACCCAGGGGATCACTCAGGTGGTTTGTGTGTTTGTGGTTAAGAAAGTGTGAACAGGGTTAGAAAGATCAATTGGCGCCACGCTCCTCTCATGCGTGGCCTGGTTGTTCAGTACTTAGTTTGTTTGTCGAACTATACAGGGAAAGTCAGCTGAAATAGGAAAAATACTGAATGACCAGACAAAAAGACACAATGTAATAATTTGTTACTTGTTTTCCCAAGTAACGAACAGTAGCAACACAGGAAAATAAAGGAACACAAGGGTGTGACGAGATCAATCTCACCACATTGCATTGGAGAAGCCTGGTTGCTCGCCTGTTGCCTTTGGATTATGGCCCCATGTTAAAAGGCTTAATTTTCCCCTGCAAAGACATGTAAGCCTGGTCATTTGGTGCTTGCCCTGTTTGAGCGGTGATACCCCAGATAGCTATGCCATGGAGCCCATTCGTATAATGAAAGACTATCGGAAAGACTTTGGCTCCATGGCAATTGAACTGTATGTGTGTGCTCTGAGCGCCATTCAGTAATAATGTGCGCTCAGATCTGAGCTATCTGGGGATATGTTGAATGTACCTGTTTTATGCACTGGCTGCACAGTTATATGTTTTTATGTGTTTTATGGTCTTTTGCTGCCATGTGTTCAATGGAGTTTTGCCTCTGTCCTTGGAGATAATTGGATTACTTCTCAATTATCTCCAGGATAGAAGACTCTGTGGAACTGGTTTTGGGCAGAAAAGCCATGCTTAATTTGGTCACAAAGGACTACGATCTATCTTTTGAACCACTGGACCAATTTGGATGATTTTGACATATGTTTGTATTTGGAGTATGCTGATTCTGAAAATGTTTTATGTGAATGTGATGCATACTTTTCAAGTTATGAATAATGTGGAAAAATTGTATTTCTCTGCTTGTTATAATTACATTACCCATTGTGTAAGGTAATTGTATCACAGGCAGAGGGGAGGATTTGTGTGGGAGTGTCTGAGTGTATTGTATGTGTTTATTGGTTGTGTTCCAAAACCCTGTGGGTGGTACTAATGTGTATATAAGAACAATAAACCCACAGCTCTGACTGTTCACTGCTTGACCCTCAACACGGAGCTTTGTCTTGTTCTTGGGGGGATTTACTGTTTGCTGTTCCAGTTTGACTGCCAGGAGTGTAAACCTATTCATATGGTTTTTCCTATTCGGCTGTTTACAGCATTCATATGGTTTCCTGTTCGGCGGATTGGTGTTCTGCAGTAGCTTTGCCTGTGCATCAAAAAAGGGGAATATCGCCTAAACAGTTTTAACCCCTGGTGTGCAAAACAGTCCGTTACAAAGGGGTATGGACAGCCCCTCGTACAAAGAGGGGTACTGTGGCAAAGTCCATTCTGCTACAGTTGTATATTATTTTTATGTTACCTCTGTGTTTGAGAAATAATGTAACTAAGATCA